ATTAGTGCCACCTTGTGGTTCAAACCTTGTGGTTTGAAAGAGTACCTTCACAAATAAGGTGAGCAAAAACCTTTGTCTCTGATTTTCCTCTCCAAATCTCATCCTCTGGGGAGGTAATTCTCTTTAGCTACTCAGCCACAGAAGAATAAAACAAAAGCCCTGTTGCAGAGTCTTTCAGTCACCTTCATCAGAGAAGAGCTAACTGCTGAGCAGGAAATAATCTCTTCAGGGCTTTCTCATATTTTCTTGTGCTTTTCAAAAACTGAACTCTCAGAGGTTCCCTCCATAGGTACTCAACTTGCCCATAGGGTAGATGATTTCCCCCCCCCAAAGTATCTGCTTTCAAGGATCTTTTCCTCAGTGCCATCTTGCAAGCAAGCAAGAAAGTGCATGCAAGCCAATCTTGAGATAGACAAAATCATGGTCGGGGAATATTCTTTTTCTCTGAGTTTAAATTTCCAGGACCATATGAATAAAGTATATGTGAGTGAATTAGTTGGTGACAGTTAGTAAAAGTTAGTAAGTGAAAGTGAGTTGGGATTACAGTTGAGATGTTATCTGGTGAATTTGGAAGTTATGGGTCTTTGCTATATCATAAAGTGATGGAATTATTAAGACAGTGGAAAAGAAAGCAAGAGAAAAAACAGGGGCTTTTTAAATGTCATACAGGAAAAGTAGAGATTGCACACAGACCAATGTGAGAGGGACTTCTGGGGAAGCAATGGCGGACTGAAGACTCGCAGAGCCAATGACTGCGGCAGAAAGAGGAGCTAGTGAATGGTTTGGCTCCTCAGAATTCATCTCTGGAGCAAGAAAGAACCAGGATCACCCACAAGTGCTCCATACAACGGCTCCCCATGAGGAGACCATAGGACAGTGGTCTCCAGGGGGTTTTAGAGCTCTGGGAGCTGGGGGAAAGTCATCTCACCTAAACCGAGATTCGGCGCCTTCAAAAGGACGCTGGGTACACATACTTCCTTTCTTAACCACTTTAGGAAATTGCTTGTTAATGGCTTTTTGGATGATAAGAACCTTCAGAAGGGCAGGTTTCATTACACTGGGTGAGTTTCCTTCTATCCTTATTTATTTATTTATTAAATTGCTCTTATAATAACAGAAAAAGAAAAAAAGGGAACAAAACACAAAGATACATATATTGTCAAATAAAAATACATAACAAATGCTTAAAAAAGAAATAAGTGAAAGAATACTACAGAAAAAATATAAAATATAATACGTTGTTATAGCATTATAATTCTATATATATTCTAATACAAACATTATATATATATATATATTTCTAATACATTTATATAACTATCATGCCTTTTTTTTTTAACTTACTGTATTTTGCATAAATGAATCCCATATGTCATTGTATTTATCCATACAAAGTCTGTATAGGCAATCTGCTCATAGGTGGCAAGTGTAATCAGGTCTTCAATCCATTGAGTAAATGGGGCCATGATTTATCTTTCCAATGCTGCAGTATAACTCTTTTAGCCATAGTAAGGGCATGGATAACCCATTTACTTTGTGCAGTTATCAGATTGCATGTACTAGGTATATAATTCAAAAGAATATTATCCTCTGAGAATTTTAGTTTTTGTTGCACAGTCACATTTATATGGTATACTACTTTCTCCCAAAACTTAGTAAGTATAGGACATTGTAAAAACGTGTTTTAAAGAAGCATTGTCCTTATTACATCTCCAACAAGATGTGTTAATCCTTTTCTATACAAACATAATGGAGTCCAATAAATTCTAAATATTATTTTTTGTTGTATAAGTCATAGTTTAAGACATTGTCCTTATTACATCTCCAACAAGATGTGTTAATCCTTTTCTATACAAACATAATGGAGTCCAATAAATTCTAAATATTATTTTTTGTTGTATAAGTCATAGTTTAAGACATTGTCCTTATTACATCTCCAACAAGATGTGTTAATCCTTTTCTATACAAACATAATGGAGTCCAATAAATTCTAAATATTATTTTTTGTTGTATAAGTCATAGTTTAAGATCCATTGACACTCTTGCTATAGAAGTTAAGACACTCTCCCATTGTCTAGGCAATATAGGAACCTCTAATTCTTTATTAAATAGAATTATTTTAGAATAAATAACAAAAGGGTGACTAGAACTTTGATTTTGGAAAGTTATAAATGGATTAGGGGGCCAGATGGACTTGAAATAAGATTTTGAAATTAATTACAAGAATATTTCCTGTGGGTTGTTTAAAATGTTTTATATATGTATGTATGTATATGAAGATTTTGAAACTAACTGTAAGAAACCTTTCCATGGGAAAATGTTGTTGATTAGGAAAAAAAACATGATAAGAGGGAATTTTGAAGGTTGATTAGAGGGAACCAGAAAGAACTAAAGATTATAATTAAAGAAGGAGAAACCCGTTAATACACAATGGAGCAATATTATTTAAATGTGAAAGAATTCAAAGATATTTGGGAACTATTATAAAAATGGATTCAAAAGAAGTTATGGAAGAGAAGCAGATTTTACTGGATAAAACAGACTAGGCTGATTTGAATGTGGCTCTGAAAATGGATTTTAAAATATCAGGCTACAAAAATGATATGGAAAATGATGTTACACTGGATTTACAAATGAAACCAGCTGATGACTTAATAATTATAGGGGACATAATAATAATAAACAGAAGAGTGACTTGGATAGCTTTCTTATCTTGGATTTACAAAAAAGACATGTTAAACTTGTGAAGGAGTTTCTGAGAAAAGGCAAAGAGAAAAATGATAAATCAACTTCTGGGATGCTATTTGAAGGGATAAAGATCAAGATTCTTAAAAGTAAATGGAAGGAATACAAAGTGGATTTATTTGATCAAAGTTAAAATATATATGTTGTTTCTGGTAGCTCTTAATGGATTTTTCTTGACTAGGCCTGAATGACGAGGCTTTAAAGTTATGTGAAGAAGAGATTTTTTATTGTATTTTCAGAGAAAGCGATAAGTTACTGTGTTAAAAGGAAAGTAATATGAAACTGATTTGATTAAAGTTAAAATATATATGTTGTTATTTCTGGAACTCTTAATGGACTTTTGCTGATTAGAACTGAATGAAAAGGCTTTATAATTTGTTTATAGATAAGAGATGAGATATGGGAAGAAGAGATCTTTTGTTGAAATACCAGAGAAGGTGATAAGTTACTGAAATTGTACTTGAAGGGGAGAGTCGTTTCTTTGTATATCTTTTTTCCTTTTCTCAGCAATTTTTCTTTTTATATTTTTCTTAGTTTGTATTAGTTTTTTAACTTTGTATTTTAAAATTTTAATAAAAAATATTATTAAAACAACTTGTGTGAGAGCTTGATTTGGGGACTGGCTTAATATGCGGGAAGGTGAAGTGAATTTGGGTGTTTTGGTATGGTTGGGCCTATGATGGCTGCTGAGGGACTTGTCAATTTCAGCCTTTGGCTAACTTGCCTTTGGATTTTGATTATGTCTGGTTTATCTAACAGTTTGTATTTTGTGTACGAACCTTGCTTATTTCCTTACTTTGTTGTGAGTACTTGACTCTGTCCCTGACAAGTCACATTCCAAACAGGATAGTAGAAAAGGAAATAATATATTGGCTATATGATAACTTCTGCAAGAAAGCTCTTCAGGGACAAGTCCAAAAATAATAGCTCCATGTAAGATATTTATCTTTTATTTGATTCCAGCTTTGTCCATAATCAATGTAATAGTGGAGTTGGTTCTCCCTGGTTTGAGCAATGTGGTTCCTTTAGAGCAGGTCTGCACAACTTGTAGAGGGTAAAGGGCCATACTGATAATTAAAAATAACTGCAGGCTGCAAAGGAATACCTGTTTGTTGGCTAGCAGAGCAGCAGTGGTGCTGGAGCTAGTGGCGGCAGTGAGGCTTGGAGGCACTTGGTAGCATGTCTTTTGGGGTGTTGGTGAATTTATTGGCTTTTTTAAAAAGACAAGACTGCTTGGTGGGCCGCATGCAGCCCGTGAGTGGTATGTTGTACAGGACTGCTTTAGAGAATAGTTGGCAGTTTCTTTCAGAAACTGTCTTGATGTTGACGGCTCTGCAACTTTGAGATGGTCTGCTAAGAACAGGTTGATGGATGTAACGCACTGGCTGAATTAATAACATTGGATCTAAGTTAACTGTAAAGCTCCTTACCAAATTGGTTTCAAAGTGGCATAATTCAAGCACTGTGGATACATGTAAGAAAAAAAAAAGGCTGATGGAGATCCTTCTACTGTTTTTGAAGTAGATCTTGGGACCAAGATAAAAATAATCTGGGGATCATATTTCCATTTAGTATTTTTTCTCTCTTTTCATATTAATCTTGGAAATGCGAATATGAACTCGTTGCAGATCCCAATAAGAGCAGTATAGATTGTCCTGTTACTTGAGATTGTCCAGCCAGTTCTAGCTAATTACACTGGAGAAAGAGATAATTGAACTTATATCCGAAGAGCCATCTTTTTTTTTCTTTCTGTCAGATGCATTATGTTCATCTTAATTCTTCTCCACAATAGTGTTGTTGATGTTGTTCCAAATATTATCCTCTTGCTGAACATATTCCATACATGCAACTGTGACGAACCAAATATGTATAACTGTTTCTGTCAGGCCCAGCCCAAGAACAACGAGGAGAAAGTCCAGTCCAGTATAGTTCCTTTATTTGCTTACATCCTAAAGACAGAATCTCGCCAGACTAAATCTATGCTAAAGCAACTAGTGGATATACCCCGTGAGACTCTAGGGAGGGGCTAGCCTAAACCTCTTCTTCTCACGGTCTTGCTCCGGGCTGAGAAAGCGCTTGCTTTGTACCCTCTCCTGGAATGCACTCCTTCCCTCCTGATAGCCTTGATCTTCCATTCCAGTATCCTCCTCACACATACCTTCCATTACAGTTTCCTATGTTCTGGTGGTCTATTGTATCAAATATAAACAGGATGTGTGTGAAGTGTGAATATTCTGGGTTTATAACTTTGCTAGATGAATCGCTCATTGGTAAGTAGAGGTAGTCCTCACTTAATGACCCAAACTGGGACCAGAATTTCCATTGCTAAGCAAAGCAGTTGTCAAGTGAAACATCACATGACTGGACCACTTTGCAATGGCAGTTCTGGTAGTCCTTAGGCAAGGACTGCACTGTCATTAGAGGAGGACCTCATGCTTCTCCTGTCCTTCCGTGCTCACTTCCATTTAAATTCCCCTCACCCACCTTGTGAAGGGCCAGCAGTTGCCTTGGCCAGACACACCTTGTCAGTAGTGGGAGGAAGAAGACAGCAGAAGACAGCAAGGGTAGGCAGCAGCGAAGTGCAAGGCAGCCAAAAGGGGAGAGATGAGGGGGGAGATAAGCAGGTGGGGGGAGTTGAAGTACATACTGTGTTCATAAACGTGGGTGGGCTGCCAAGGACCTGAACTTTGATCATGTGACCTGCAATGGGTGTAACTTTGAGGACTGGCCATAACTACAGTTCATTCAGTGCTGTCATAACTTTGAACAGTTGCTGAACAAATGGTTGTTAAGCAAGAACTATCTGTATGCAGTTTACATTTCAGTTAATATGAGGAAATTAAATCATATGTTTAATTGTATGTATTTGTTATCATAATGTAATGGCATTGTAGTTAGCAAATAATTTTTGAGATAACATAAATGAATTATAGCCATTTTAATTCCAAGAATATATGGATACATTGTTTTTTACAGGTGGTAATTCTAGCAGTTCCTGGATTTTTGATGAATTGTGCTTTCCTTGGATGGTTATTTTTTAAAATTAATAAACAGAATTGGTCTTGGGATGATAGCATGCTGTTTGGCATAATTCTTAGTACAACAGATCCTGTCCTTTCTGTGGCTTCTGTAAGAAACATTGGTAAGTAAAAATCTAATTTTAGTTTTATTACAATAATGAATCCTTTTGGGGATAGTGTATATTTAATGCATATAAGCAGATTTATGAGAAAATATTTAAACATGAAAGAAGTTAATATAATGTTAAACTATATACCAAAGCTTGGAATCTGACTGCTTATCAGGAACTATGATTGTATTGAGCATGGGAGGAAGCTAAAATAATAATACTGAGAAATTGGAAATATGATATTTCAGATGTCAGAGAATGGTTGTCGGAAATGTGTGATCTGTCTGTTTTGGAAAAGGCAATATTTTCTGTTAATCAAGAGATGCAGCAACAGGTGTTACTATGGCAGAGATTTTGTGATTTTTTACAGTATCTTGAACTGATCATATTATAGTGTGTATTCATTAGTTAACCAGTGACTACTGATAAATGTAAAATATAAGGTAGATTTTTTCTTCTTAATTTGTATTTTTAGTTTGTGTGTCTTTTATATTTTAAGATTCTTTTATTAATTATGTATGTATAATTTTTTTAGAAAATGTTTAAAAATTCAAATAAAAAAATAAACCCTCAGTAAAATCATAGCATTTGTAGCACAGTTTTTGTTAACTTCATGAGCTAAAGAAAGTTGATAATCAACCTTAACACAACAAAAATAGTGAAAAGACTAGGTTTGTCTTTTGACTATTTTTTTATTAAAGTTGATTATTAGTCAGACATGCTCATAATGCTAAATGATAAGCTCTGGAAAGGAACCTCTCCAGGTGAATAAAATAAACATTACTGTCTTTTCCTACAAGATCTGGCCTTTAGGTCATTACTATCTATAATAGTTTTGAGAAGGATAGCCATGTAAGTTTTAACAGCAGAGTCTCATCATATCTTAAACATATGGGGTGCTGGGACAGCCAAAACTCCAAGGACCAGTTGTAACCACCATTCATTCAGCTCCGTCATAACTTGGAACGGTTGCTGACCACATGGTCATAGGTCGAGGGCTACCTGTAGCCTGTAACCTTGCTTTGTTTTTCTGTGTTCTTTTGGTGAGGAGCCCAGTGATCACTTTACTGTAGTGGTGCTTGCCAATAAAAGATACATTGTTTCAACTATCTCCAATCACTTTGCTTCTTATTAAAGGGGGCATTTTCCGCACAAAGCAGTAAGGCAGTTTTGCCTACAACTTAAAAGCATACTCAGAAACTCAGGATTCTTCATTGTGGTCTCTAGGCATCACACAGGCATGTTTGAGAACCTTATGTAATTGACAGAGGTATCTGAATCAGGGGTGTCAAAGGATGAAAGTAGTGTCATAGTGAAGTGATGTAAACTCTTCCCTTTTTGTATGTATGGGTAGGTCCTCAGGTTATCACCTTGTTCAGCGACTGTTCAGAGTCATGATAGTGCTGTATGAGGGGGACTTACTACCGGTCCATGAAGTTGCAACCATCGTAGCGTCCCCATAGTCATGTGATCACGATTTGGGTGCTTGGCAACTGACTTGCACTTATGATGGTTGCAGTGTTCTGTGGTCAAGCAAACTCAATGGGAAAGCTGGCAGGAGGTCACGGGTTGTTCCCTCTGTTACACACGCTGCTCCCAGGTTCGGCTTATGGTCACCCACTCACACACTCACAGCCTGTTGAGGCACGTGGATCTTGTCAGCCCCTCTTGCTTTCTACCTGGGTTTCCAGATAGGTGCGGCTGGAGCAGACAGACACACAGC